ACGCGCCTCCAACCATAGTTGGCCATGTGGGAGTGTCCAGCACCTTAGCCACCATGCCACATGCTGGTCCCCAAAATATTCTTTTTTTAAAAAAAAAAAATTATGTATCTTACAAAGGTTTTAAAAATATATATTAATAACGCACATGTCCCAGATGCCTTTAGACAGCAAGCTTTCCTAGGACTTTGGACTCATGATTCAATTTGCAAAATTTCACTTTGCCCACAGCTTCTAAAGACTTTCATCTTTTGTGCAAAGTAAGCTTATGACATTCGGATCTTAGTTGGGAATTCATTCTGTTATGGTATTTCTTTTTTTTCTCCTTAGGATTTTTCATATTCATGTTTTACTGTGTAGCAAAAGAGAATGTCAGGAAGCAATGGAGGCGGTACCTCTGTTGTGGAAAGTTTCGGCTGGCTGAAAATTCTGGTAAAGATGTACCTTAATTTCTCCTCTACTTAAATGTCAAGAAAGGGATTATATATATTAAGATCTAAATCATTCATTACTAAAGGGCCATTTGTACCCACCGGGGCGGGGACACGAACCGCGGTCGACTATGTGGGAGTCCAGCGACATAGCCATTACGCTAACTGCTGGTTCCCTGTTGTGATGCCTTTTAATTGTCTTCGCTTCTGCTTATTTTCCTCTTTTCCTGTTGCTTTTAGTTCCTGTTAACTTCCTCCTGGAGTTCGATCAGGCAATAGATCATTTTGCTGGCTTTCAAAGAAATCCCAGCCTGAGATTAAATTCAAATGCTGAAGGGCTGGCAGGTGGCGTGGTGGTTAAAAGCACCGGATTCCCACATGGCCAACCGTGGTTTGAGTCCTGGATCTGGTGGCTTGTTTTCTCACCCCCTCCCTTCTCTATATAATCAGACTGGAAAATAATAATAAAAAATAAAGTTAAATAAAATAGTTTTTTTTTAAAAATTCAAATGCTGAGGGTCCAGCAGGAGGCATTGTGGTTAAGGTGTTGGACTCCCAGCTGGTCGACTTTGGTTCAAGTCCTGCATCCAGCAGCTTTCTTTCTCACTTTCCCTCTCTCTCTGTCTGTCTTTGGTAAGCACATGTGCCCTATAGCAAATTAAAAAATAATAAGAAATAATTATATTTTTTAAAAAGACATCAAGTCTTGAGAATGGGCCCATGTACCGTACTAGAAGCAAACCTGGTATTATTTTAAATTTTAATTTACTTTATTTTATTAGACTTTTGCTATAGACTGTGTGCACTTACAGGAAGAGAGAGAGACAGAGAGAGAAAGTGAGAAATCACCTCCCAGGGGGGTGGCCACACCACAGTTCCCTCTCTGCCATTCCCTTCTTGTGATTTTGGGCATGCATGCACACACGCCCTAAGTGTCCTTCAGGTCACCAGGTCCAGGATTGGAGCTACAGAATCAGCCACGTGGTTGATCATCATCAGCACCTTAACCACCATGCCACCTGCTGGCCCCAAATCTGGTATTTTTAAATGCAACTTTTAAAGTAGGTATCTTAATGGCTGGGGAGCAAATTCGTCTCTCTATTCAGCAAATACCTATTGGCAAAAGCTTTGGAAAGTGGTAGAAAAGGGGCTGTGTGAGGAGCCCTGACCTCCATACCTGGGGGGCTGAGGTAGGTGGGAGGCAGGAGGTGGAGCATGAGGGCCCCTTCAAGCCTTCAGCTTTGCTCTCCAGGACACCAGGGGAGAATTTCAAAGGGCGGCAGGAAGGCTGAAGAGGACATATTGGCAGTCAGGGCCCCATGCAAGCGAAAGGGCAGTGGGCTACAGAAGAAGGAGGGGGACGTGAGGCAGATGGAGGAGATGACATGTGACCAAACTCAGAGATGGATTGCATACCCAGAGGGGCCTAGGTCTGAGCTGGAATCTTGGGTGGGTGGCTTGTACTTCCAAGATAGAGGAGACCAAGGACAGGATGAGAGAAGAGAGACAGTGAATTTAATTCTGGAAATGTGAAATTATCATTCTTTTTAGAAGTTTGCTTTTTTCTTTAGAATTATTTATTTTGAATTTTATTTTTCATTCAGTTATTTATTTTTTTAAATTTTGACCAGAGAGACAGAGAGAGAAAGTGAGAAAGCAAGCCACCAAGTTCGGGACTCGAACCATAGTTGGCCATGTGGGAGTGTCCAGCACCTTAGCCACCATGCCACATGCTGGTCCCCAAAATATTCTTTTTTTAAAAAAAAAAAAATTATGTATCTTACAAAGGTTTTAAAAATATATATTAATAACGCACATGTCCCAGATGCCTTTAGACAGCAAGCTTTCCTAGGACTTTGGACTCATGATTCAATTTGCAAAATTTCACTTTGCCCACAGCTTCTAAAGACTTTCATCTTTTGTGCAAAGTAAGCTTATGACATTCGGATCTTAGTTGTGAAGTCATTCTGTTATGGTATTTCTTTTTTTTCTCCTTAGGATTTTTCATATTCATGTTTTACTGTGTAGCAAAAGAGAATGTCAGGAAGCAATGGAGGCGGTACCTCTGTTGTGGAAAGTTTCGGCTGGCTGAAAATTCTGGTAAAGATGTACCTTAATTTCTCCTCTACTTAAATGTCAAGAAAGGGATTATATATATTAAGATCTAAATCATTCATTACTAAAGGGCCATTTGTTCTGGAAATTAGTGAATAGGACCTGTTAAAATATATATTTTTCATGGTGGACCTTAGAGGGAAAAACCTAGTGAATTTTTAAAAAAATCATTCCTATCTGGAATTTCGTGAGCAGTAGAATTAATGGAGTGGCTGCTTCTTGAATGAAGATGAAGCTACAACAAAATTTTTAGAATTTGTTTCATATTGAGGTCATGATTTCCATTTCCCAAAGTAATTTTTAATGTTTACCTTCTGAACTTTTTAGTCTTGACTCAACCTTTTCTCCACAGGTCCTGGTTGCCAGTTGCTTTATTTGGTAGTGGGCCAGACATTGTACAGAAGTGTTAGCATCGTACCTTTGGTTATTTGGTTACAGCATACATTTGGTTCTTTTTTTTTTTTGAGAGTTTTTTTGC